CTCATTTTGTGTGAAGATAAGAACTCTTCTCCATAACTGCTTGTTGAAATGTGTTTTTCATTTCAGGGAGCTTTGACATTCAAGGATGTCGCCGTAGAATTCTCTCAGGAGGAGTGGACGTGCCTGGACCCTGCTCAGAGGGCTTTATACAGGGACGTGATGTCGGAGAATTATAGGAACCTTGTCTCCCTGGGTGAGGATAACTTCCCTCCAGAAGTTAGAATCTGTCCTTGTGTGATTTGTATTTTCCCTGTGTATTTTTGTGCCTTTTGGAGCCCCTGTATTATTTCACTTAGATTGAAGAAGTTCTATTAATTCAAAAATGAAAAGCTTCACTATGTGGCATCTGATCTGGCCTTTAACTGTCCCCTTTCTGTAGGTATCCTGCCCCCTTCATTGTACAGCAGTGGTTCCAGAGCTGCAGTATGCATAAAAGCTTATGGCAGACTTTTAAAATATTCAATTTCCTGTTTTCTGCCCTGTGCTTTTGATTCAGTAGTTGCTGGAAGAGAGTTAGATACCTGCATGTTACAATGTTGCCTAAGCTCAGAAAGAGCCAGTCAGTGGATGAGTTTGTGAAGTATTTTTCTGATCCATCTATAATGTCTTCTTTCTGTGTAAACATAGGGCTGGGATTTTGGAAAGGTCACAGCACATCTTCCTTTCTTTTTATAAGCAGGAATCTCTCTTCCTGACCTGACTGTTATCTCTATATTGGAGCAAGGGAAAGAGCCATGGACTGTGGAGAGCCAAGCGAAAGCAGCAAGAAACCCACATAGAGGGAAATGGATCAAAAGTGTGAACACAGGTAAGAGTCCAGATGAGCACAGTGTAAGCCACATCATTAAGCAGTGTTTGGGTAACTCTCTGCAAGTGGGAGAGTTCTATGGGAAAACAAGAGATTTCCTGTGAGCCCTGAAAAGAAATTCTTCTCTACTTATCACTGTGTTCTTCAGACATTGTAAAAGTTTATCCTTCCACCCTCCAGTGGTGCTGCAGCTCAAACAGAGACAAAGGCAAAGTGTTTGTCATGATGGACAACACCCTGACATCTGGCTTCTGTGAACTCTTCACTTCCCTGATTCTGTGCAGCACATGGAGGGCTGTTTCCAAGGGGTCTCTTTCCCCTGTGGTCTCTCCTTTTGTACTTGATTCCATCTGATGCTCAGTTCTCCATCCACCTAGGTCAGAACTGTGGCCTCCTAGTCCTGATGCCTTGACCTATCCTGGTTCCATTCCCATTTCCTGTACTTGGAAGACCTAATCAGGAGATGGGAAAACATTGCCTACTTTCATTGCATGTACTGCCTAGAAATTACATGAAGCTGTCTCAGGCTTTCTCTGCCTGTTCAGGTCCCTCAGCCATTTCTCCAGTTCCACGTTTGCCACTCTTCTCAGGTGGGTGACAGGGGAGTGGGTTGAGTTGTTATTCAGAGGAACTGTAAAGATGGTCAACACAAAGGCCTTCTCTTTGATTCGCAGTCCAACAAGGGGAGCCTTTCAGGTTCTTAGCTTAGGATCTGTGGGCAGAGCACAGTCTTTTCTTAAGATCCCTAAAATTCTGACCCCTGTATTTGCATTTTTCTCTCTCCCAGTGTTCTATCTACTATAAGAATGCAGAAAAACTTTGACTCTTCTGATTTTGTATTCTCTTTTAAGTTTGATTTAGCCTCTGAAACTTGCTTTTGATAACCACATTCCTAGGATCTGACATGCCATCCTTTTTTTCTGTTGTGATAACCCACATTTAGGTTATGGACAACATCTTGTGCACTATTCCATGGAGTGGGCTTACTGGTTAACAGAAAATTATTGAAGGATAACACTATGACCAATATCTTTCAATATCATTCTGCTACATACAGACCTGCCCATTAAAGTCACTGAATAGAGTGGTAAGCTTGTCCCATGATATTCAGAAAGTATAAGATCCTGGTTTTTGAGTAGTGTTAGAAAAGCATCCCACAGGGGCACTGTGATAATGTTGATCACATATACTAAGGTCATCCTTTTTGAGCCAGCAATAAATGATGTAAGAATTTCTCCTAAGGAGAACATTGTTGAAGTTCACAACTTCATCTTTATGAGGCTGTTGACTAAACCACTGTCCATGCAACATTTCTTTTCCCCAGTGTGTTACATTGTTCACTCTCCTACAATGAATATGAGTTTGATGCATCTTATTGGAAGGAGCTCATGAAGTTGAATAAGGCCTATGTTTTTTGTTTTTTGCTTTTTTTAAGAGACAGGATCTTGCTCTGTCTCCCAGGTTATAGTGCAGTGGCGCGATCATAGCTCACTGCAGGCCAAACTCCTATGCTCAAGTGGTCCCCCTGCCTCAGCCTCCTGAGTAGCTGAGACTACATGTATGTGCTACCATGCCTAACTAATTTTCCAATTTTTTTTATAGAGATGGGGTTTTGCTATGTTGCCCAGGCCTGTCTTGAACTCCTGGTCTCCAACAGTCCTGCCTTGGCCTCCCAAAGTGTTGATGTTACAGGCATGAGCTACCATACCCAGCCTAAATTAGTTCTATGTTTTTTAAGTCCACCATAATTTAAGCTACTGCTGCTTTCATCATGTATTATAAATGAATTTTATTTTTATTCATTTCATTATCAGTTCCATATTTCTGAGGATACTTAGTGTTCTTTGTTTTATGTTGCTACATGTGGTAGGGTTGTATTGGAGAATGCATATTGTTTTATATATATTTTACAAGTTTTTTTCTTTGCTATAGATGGTAGGCTAAGCAACAGTTTCCCTAAAACTTACACATACTCCATTATATTTTGGTATGATAGTTGTAGTTATTCCTTTTACTTCTGATTCATCTTACCTAATTCTTACTAGTAAAGTATACATTTGTCAATTAAATTTATCATTTTAAATTGAAATTATTTGATTTCTTGAGAATATATTTTAATTAAGTTACTCTCTTAATTACAGAGATACTATTAAAATGACTGTACTTGGTATATAAGATACATTGCTTTTCTACAGTATGTTTCAATTTTCTAAATATAATTTTTTGGGTTTAGTTTAAATTTTACTGTTTTTTTTCTGTAACAAATGCTGTATTGTAATAATTATTCTCCCTGTAGAGATTCATCATACCCATCTTAGTATACTAAATTAATATTTAAGTATCTCATTTTACATTTAGCCCATTTCTTTCACTTTAAGGGCTTTTCCACTGGTTTATAAAACCTGCATTTTCTGCTTTTTATGTATGGCCTCTTTATGTTGAGGTTGTTTCATTCTATTCCCAGTTTGCTGAGTGATTTTGTCATGAAAGGGTATTGATTTTTTTTTCAAATGCTTTTCCCTTCATTCTGTCGATGTGAAGCATTGTATTTGCTATCTCATGTTTGTTAATTTGTCAATCCTTGCATTCCAGGAATAAGTCTCACATGATCATGTTGTACAATTCATTTCCTGTTTGTTGAGTTTTGATTGCTAATATTTTGTTGAGGATTTTTGTATTAGCATTCATAAAAGATATTGCTCTGTGGTTTTCTTTATTTGTAATGTCATCGTCTGGCTTTGGTATCAGGGTGATGCTGGCTTTTGGGTTGTAATTCTTTTTTTTTTTTTTTTTTTTGATGGCTGTTCACTTTTATTTATAAGTGGATCAAGGGCAGCCATGGAATACAAAACTTAATTTTAGAAAAGTGTTGAAAACATTAATTCATAGAAAAGTATTAAAAACATAATAGCAATTTATATACAATTGCTATTCCAAATGATAATTCAGTAAGATGAGAATATAAAATTTACTGTTTATTATTTAAAGGCTATCTCAACCATCTTATAAGGAATCATGTTTTAAATTACAACCAAATATCAAAATTATTTCCAGTTAAAATAAATTTCTAAAGTCTCTGTTAGAAAGAGATGAAATTTTTCTTCAGGACAGTAGCTTTCAAATGAGTGTGCATCAGCATACTTTGGAGGGTTTGTGAAAACACAGATTTATGGGGCTCTACCTTCAGAGTTTTGGGTTCAGTAGTCTGGGCAGGGCCCAATAATTTGCATTTCTTAACAAGGGCCAGAATTTCTGATGCTGAGCTCAGGAATCACCTTATGAGAACCAGTGCTTTAGGGAAATGTATAGGTATTTATGCAGGAGAGCTTTTCCCCTACTCTTCCTCTCTCTCTCTCTCTCTCCTCTCTCTCCTCTCTCTCTCTCTCTCTCTCTCTCTCTCTCTCTCTCTTTTAATTTCAAAATATTAAGGGAGTACAAATGTTTTAGTTGACATGAATTTTTTTTTGTAATGCTTAAGTCCTGGCTATAGGTGTGCCTGTCTCTCAGACAGTGTTCATAGTACCTATAAGGTTGGTTTATTCCTCTCTCCTCTTCCCCCACGCTCTGGTTGCTTTCCACTGAGTTTTACTTCCCTCTGTGCACATATGTGCTCATCAGTTAGTTCCAATTTAATAGTGAGTACATGTGGTGTTTGCTTTTCCATTCTCAAGTTACTCAGATAAATGGGTTCCAGTTCCATCCAGATTGTGGCAAAAGGTATTAATTCTAAATTGCCATTTACTAGATTATTCATTAGTTGAGTTTGTTGTGGTTATTTATCATTACAGTATATCCTGCTGTGGTTTGGCATTTATTCACAATAAATGTGAAGTAAATATATGTAATTTTTTTCTTTCAATTATGAGAGAGCCATATGTTTCCTGCCAGTTCGGATACTTTGAGGTCATGGTGGAAAACAAGTTCTTTTAGTGCTAACATATGTTTGCACAACATGCAGGTTTTGGTAATAGGGTGTTTAAAACTGGGCTTCCCCAACATTGATTTGAATTACATATAATCACCCTTTCTTTACTAAAGAATTCTGTTCCTTCTGTGCGCCTAAGAATCATGGTGGAAAAGTTTCATAGCTGTTTAGTATAAATATTACTTTTGGTGTAGTATGTTTTCAATATGAAATATTTATTTGCCAATTGTAATTAATAGGAAACCCATGTTTCATTATATCTTGTAGATATCTCTCCTAAATGTGTGATCAAGGAATTACTGCCAATAGAGAACAGTAATACAGGAAAAAAATTCCAAACAGTAATGTTGGAAAGCCATGAAAGCCATGACATAGAAGATTTTTACTTCAGGGAAATGCAGAAAAATATACAAGACTTTGAGTTTCAATGTAGAGATGGTGAAAGAAATTATAAAGAAGTACCAATGACCCATAAAAAAAATCTCACTGGTAAAAGAGATGGACATGATCCAGGACATGCAGAAAATAAGCCTGTTCAAAATCAGCTTAGATTAAGCTTTCAGTCACATCTGGCTGAACTGCAGAAATTCCAAACTGAAGGGAAAATTTATGAATGTAATCAAATTGAGAAGACAATTAACAGTGGTTCCTCAGTTTCATCACTTCAAGGAGTTCTTCCTAGTGTCCGAACCAACATTTCTAGTAAAGATGGGAATGATTTTATTCATCCTTCATTACTCACACAAAACCAGAAAACACACATTAGGGAAAAACCTTACAAATGTAACGAGTGTGGCAAAGCCTTTCATTGGAACTCTCTACTCACTATACATCAGATGATCCATACAGGAGGGAAACCATACCAGTGTGATATATGTGGCAAGGTCTTCAGTCATAATTCAAATCTTGTAAATCACAGAAGAATTCATACTGGAGAAAAACCATACAAATGTAAAGAATGTGGCAAGTCCTTTATTCAAAGTTCCAACCTTGCAATTCATCAGAGAATTCATACTGGAGAGAAACCTTACAGATGTAATGAGTGTGGCAAAGCCTTTAAACGGGGCTCATGCCTCACTACACATCAGATAATCCATACAGGAAAGAAACCACATAAATGCGATGTATGTGGCAAGGTCTTCAGTCAAACTTCACATCTCGCAAAGCACCGGAGAATTCATACTGGAGAGAAACCATACAGATGTAATGAATGTGGCAAGGTCTTCAGTCAAAATTCACATCTTGCAAGGCATCGCAGAATTCATACTGGAGAGAAACCTTACAAATGTAATGAGTGTGGCAAAACCTTTAATCTGGTGTCATTACTCACTAGACATCAGATAATTCATACCAGAGAGAAACGTTACCAATGTAATGAATGTGGCAAGGTCTTCAGTCACAACTCCTCCCTAGCACGTCATCGGGGAATTCATACTGGAGAGAAACCTTACAAATGTAGTGAGTGTGGCAAAGCTTTTAATTGGTGGTCACTCCTCACTAGACATCAGATAATCCATGTCAGAGAGAAACCATATAAATGTGATGTATGTGGCAAAGTGTTCAGTGAAAGTTCACGCCTTGAAAGACATCTGAGAATTCATACTGGGGAGAAACCTTACAAATGTAATGAGTGTGGCAAGGTCTTCAGCTACAGTGCAAACCTTTCGATTCATAGAAGAATCCATACTGGAGAGAAACCTTTCAAATGTAATGAATGTGGCAAGGTCTTCAGTTACTACTCTTGCCTAGCACGTCATCGGAGAATTCATACTGGAGAGAAACCTTACAAATGTAATGATTGTGGCAAAGCTTATAGTGAGCGTTCAAGCCTTACTAAACATCAGGTAATCCATACTGAAGAGAAATCTTACAATTGCAATGAATTTGGCAAGGTTTTTATCCCAAGTTCAAAGCTTGTAAGATATCACAGAAATTTTACTGGGGAGAAACCACACAAATGTAGTGAATGTGGTAAAACTTTTATTCATAGGGCCAGCCTGGTGTACCATCAGAGAAGACATACTGGAGAAATGCCATACAAATGTATAGAATGTGGTAAGGTTTTCAATTCCACTTCAAATCTTGCAAGTCATCGGAGAATTCATACTGGAGAGAAACCTTACAAATGTAATGAATGTGGCAAGGTATTCCGTCATCGCTCACCCCTAGCACGTCACCGGAGTATTCATACTGGAGAGAAACCTTACAAATGTAATGAATGTGGCAAAGCCTTTAGAGTGCGTTCAATCCTTGTTAATCATCAGGTAATGCATACTGGAGAGAAACCTTATAAGTGTAATGAATGTGGTAAAACTTTTATCCAAAGGTCAAAGCTGGTATACCATCAGAGGAATCATACTGGAGAGAAGCCATACAAATGTACTGAATGTGGAAAGGCCTTTGGACAGTGGTCCTACCTCAATAAACATAAAAGAATTCATTCTGGAGAGAAACCTTATAAATGTAACAAGTGTGGCAAATCCTTTATTAGCCACTCAGGCCTCACCAAACATCAGATAAAACATACCAGAGAGAACCTTCCAAATACACTGAATGTCACAAGGCCTTTAGACATTGTCCTAACTTCTGGGTTCATCAAATAATTCAAACTTAATATACAGTATATATAGCTTAGTGTTCACTACTTACTAAACATAAGAATATATATCTTGGAAAGAAACCACAGAAATGTATATGTAGCAAGAATTCTACCTGAGGTCAAAACTTGTGGATCTACAGAGAATTCAGAGTTTTACAGATGAAATTGAATGTGGCAAAGCTATTAGCTGTGTTCAATCATTACTTGACATAGGGAGTTCATAGTGAAGAGATATCATATAAATGTGGTGGAGGCTTTCCCCAGGCATCAAGACTCAGTAGACATCAGAATATACATCTTTGAAAGAAACCACACAAATGTAATGTGCATGCTAAGGCTCTTACCCAAAGATCAAAACTGAAACATCAAGAGTATTTATAAATCATGCAGGATGTCTGGTCTTGGGAAAAAAGAGTATTTATATTGGAGAGAATCCTTACAAATGTAATGAATATGGTAACATTTTAAACCAATTCTTACAACAGATGACATATCAGAGAAATTGTACTGGAAATAACTAAGTCTATTTTGGCAAGATTGACTTGAAATATTACATACTGCAGAACAACTATTAATACAAGTCAAAATATGTTAAAACTTATGATATTATCTAAATCAGAGGAGCAAGAGCATGTGTGGAAATGACCGGTTATCCTGTTTATATTAATAAAATACAGTATTCAATTTGAGGTTTCTTACAAAGCCTACTTTCCTATTTATGACTTTCACCCTAAAGGTTGAAGTCTATTGATATTATACCTCTTTACGCACCTTTCGTTGTGATCTCTGGGAATGAATCAGTAAGATAAGAGGACCTACTTCATTAGGTGTGGTTCCTTCATGTCCATGTTACCCTGGAACATTGAGGACACTGAATTTTAAAATTCAATATTGTGAATTAAACAGCATCGGGTATGGATGAGAATGTAAATTTATGATGAAGTCATCATACCTATTGTGTTCAGGGTGTCCTTTTCCAGATAGAGGGCTACTTTGGGTTATGGAAAACAATTGCTCAACAAATTAACCATGAAAGAACAGGTGAGGACATTTCTAGATGAGGATTTTTCATGGGAGGAGAGTGACAGGTTATAAGCGATATTATGTGGTAAAAATAATGTAGGGCAAATGGTGACCACTTCCATTGAATGCCAACTGTTATATATCAAAGATAAATTAAAAATATTATTGAAAAGAGCAGTTATCAGAGAGGAGAGTTTAATCCAGAGAACCAGAATGGCATATTCACAAGTGGGTTTCACATTCAACCACCGGCTTTATATTTTAGTACTGTTTTATTCAGAATGTATCTAGGGTATCATGGCTTAATAAAATATAGTCATTCAGTCTCATCCCCTCTACCAACACAGTTTAATCCCATCTCAGTGTAGGGTACCATTCGACTCTGACAGTTTTTTTTTTTCCATGGTGGAATCAGAATCAAACATAAATTTTTGTGAATACAGTAGTATTCACCTCCCTAACTCATCTACAGAGGGGTATGTTCCAAGCCCTCCCCACCCCCTGGTAGGTGTCTGAAACTGAGGGACTGCTGAACTATATACAGTTTCGGTAAATTTTTGAGGTGTGATAGCAAAACTAGTACAAATCTCCTTTTCTTCCCATTTTCACGGATAGAAGACTCATTCTTACCTTATTTTTATTTTTTTGAGACAGTCTCACTTTGTTGTGTGGGCGTCAGCCTAGCTCGCAGGAACCTCAGACTCCTGAGCTCAAGCAATCCTCCTGCCTCAGCCTCCCAAGTAGCTGGGACTACAGCCATGCACCACCATGCCCAGCTATTTTTTTTCTATATATTTTTAGCTGTCCAAGTAATTTCAGTCTACTTTTAGTAGAGACCATTCTTGCTCAGGCTGGTCTCGAACTCCTGAGCTCAAACGATCCACCCACCTCGACCTCCCAGAGTGCTGGGATTACAGTCTTGAGCCACTGCACCCGGCCCTTACCTTATTTTTTTTGAAGATCAAAATGTTAGTTTTATTATTGAGTGTCAAGTGGAGGATGTAACTTAAAGCTGTGGTCAAATGGGTTTGCCAGTTCTACACTGCAGAATTAGACAGACTTGGCACCCAGTAACAGGCAGCAACAGACTGTCTCCTGAGGTCTTCTGAGTGACAGAGAGTAGACCAGAAAGCACCTGCAGACACACCGGTAGATCTCAAGAGAGAAGGGAAGAAACGGTTGAGCTACTTGTGTTCAGTTCCTTCCAAACTCCAGGATCAGATAACTCTTGCCCTTTGGGGGCCAGGTGAAGAGAGAGGCCAGGAGTGAAGGACAGGTGAAAGTCCCTCCACATGGAAACACGGGGGTTAGCAAGTGTAACCACCTAATTCCCTGTCTACCTCTGAAGCTATATTCTATAATGATCTTGTTACTAGAAGATCACATGACAGAACCAATTTAGGCTATGAATTTGAGTTACTTTGGATGTATGTGAAGTGTTATAATCAACTGAGCCACAAATAGGACCTGCAATAGGTTGTCAACCTGTGGTAGGTAATCAGGTAGGGCTTCAGCTCCTTGCCTGCGTCTGTTTTTTTTTTTTTTTTTTTTTTCCTTTAAAGCAGCTTTGATAATTCAAGACTTTAAATCTGTGTGGGCAATTCACTCAGCCTCTGCCAGACAGGTTTATAAATCCTAACAGATCTGGGCGTTTCCACTTCCCCAGGCCCAGTGCCTCTGAGCCTCAGGGAAAGGGACGCAGTGCCAGGTGGCCCTGGGGGATGGTGACAGTCGTGATGTCGCCCACAAGCCGGGGCGTGGCATTCTTACTCATGGTTTCCCCCAGTGGGCGCAGGGCAGCCCCCGGACACCCTTCAGGGCTGGGGCATCACCCCGACAGAAACGCTGAAACTTAAGCTCTCTATGCCTCAGTTTCCTCTGTACGACGGGGCTCGCGGTGTCTGGCAGGGCTGTTGAGAGGCGCACGAGACCCAGCAGGCGGCAGCCCCCAGCAGGCGCGCCGGACGCCGTCATCCCCGGGCCACCACTGGCGCCGCGGGGCCCCGCCTGCAGCCGCCCCGGGGAGCGCCACTCCCGACCCGCCGCGGGGCGGTGACCCCGCGACCCGCGACCGGCCCCGCACGCCCCGCCGCTGCGGGGAGCTCCACTCCCGACCCGCCGCGGGACGGTGACCCCGCGACCTGCCCCGCACGCCCCGCCGCTGCGGGGAGCGCCACTCCGGACCTGCCGCGGGGCGGTGACCCCGCGACCTGCCCCGCACGCCCCGCCGCTGCGGAGCGCCACTCGGACTGCCGCGGGCGGTGACCCCGCGACCTGCCCCGCACGCCCCCCGCCGCTGCGGGCGAGCGCCACTCCGAGCCCGGCCGCGGGGACGGTGGACCCGCGACCCGCCCGCACCGCCCGCCGCTGCGGCAGCGCCATCCGACCGCCGCGGGCGGGTGACCCCGCCGACCTGCCCGCCACGGCCCCGCCGCTGCGGGGAGCGCCACTCCCGACCCGCCGCGGGACGGTGACCCGCGACCGCTGCCCGCACGCCCCGCCGCGCGGGAGGCCACCCCGACCGCGCGGGACGCGTGAGCCGCGACCTGCCCCGGCACGCCCGCCGCTGGGAGCGCCACTCCCGACCGCCGCGGAGCGGTGAGACCCGCGACGCGACCCCGCGACCTCGGGTGCCCGTGCACGCCTCGCCGCTGCGGCTCCGCCCCTCCACGCCCGCCGTCATCCTTACCTTAGTTCTCAGTAGCCTCAACATGTGATTTTTAAAGAATTTTCTTATTATGCCAAGAACTTTCCACCTTTTCACTTAAAGGAAGTACTTTATAACTTCTCTTGGCTATGTCAAAATTGCCAGCACTTTTGTGCTTTGGGGCCGTTATTCAGTAGAATTAAGGGTTACTTGCACACAAGCCCTGCCATACCGTGACAGTACAATCAAGGACATGGCCCTAATGTCCTTTGAAGTAACCTGCCAGTTGATTAACTTAGCTCTTGTGAAATGGTTGTTTTGGACAAAATGACAGATTTAGTAAATAGAAGCTAGAGTGTGGCCCAAGAAGCTCAAAGACCCTGAAATTAATTTGTCAGAGTGGGGATGTGGTGCTAACAATCACGGGTGTAGCTAATAGAAAATGTAGGTGTTTGGCATCAGATAAAGTGCTTTCTTAAAAATTTTATTTTACTTTTTATAGTGTCATGCTGTTGAGAGTTCTACCAGTCAGTACTATTAAGATAAAAAAAACATTAAGTTTAGACTTTCGGACTGTAATTTTTTTTTTTTTTTTTTGAGTCAGAGTCTCACTCTGTTGCGCAGGCTAGAGTACCATGACGTCAGCCTAGCTCACAGCAACCTCAGACTCCTGGGCTCAAGTGATCCTCCTGCCTCAGCCTGCCGAGTAGCTGGGTCAACAGGCATGTGCCACCATGCTCGGCTAAGTTTTTCTGGATTTTTAGTTGTCTAGCTAATTTCTTTCTATTTTTAATAGAGACAGGGTCTTGCTCTTGCTCAGGCTGGTCTCGAACTCCCGAGCTCAAACCATCCTCCTGCCTTGGCCTCCCAGAGTGCTAGGATTACAGGCGGGAGCCACCGTGCCCGGCCTGGACTGTAAATTTTTATGTGAAAGCAGCAGCTGAGAAAGCTGCTTACTGCACAAGGCATAGTTTCTGATACTCTGTGAGAGATGTGATCAGGTGAAGTCAAGAATGACGAAACAAGACAGACTAGATACCTATTCTCAGGAGAATGGAGCCATGAAAGGATCATTCTTCATTCTTGCCCTCATGAAATCAGATCCTGACTACATCGGCCGAGCAACATGGCACGTTTGCTGTGAACCAGAGACTACTGGTTACCTTATTTCTTTTCCTATTCTGAATGGGAGGGTTTATTGAAGTTTTCTTTCTTTATTCCACCATGAACATGTTGTGAGTGAGGAGGATGCCACCAGGCTCTGAATCTCATGAGAGTTCATGAGACTGTCACATGATCCTTCTTTGTGACTGGAAGTCGTGTTTAAGTAGGACTTTTCCTTTGATTTTTGAGGGGAAGGGCTTTAGTATATTTTGTGTAAGCAAAAGAGGAACAAATTTATGATGGCAGCTGCACTGTTAGATATTGTAATATTTTCTACAATCATCACTCTCCCATGAGAAGGTTATCCTTGCCCACTTTATGACAGGCTTGGCATGTGAGTTCCTTGGCCAACCTGGTGTGAGTAGAGATGGCATGCCTTAATGTTAAAAGGAAGTTTTATGAGCCTTCACTTGCCTCTTCTAATGCTCCTTTCTTTCTGCTATGAGAATGGTGTATGTCCCAGATAGATAGCTGAAATTTTACTGTGTGTCCCAGAATCAAACTGTAGAACCAAGCAAGAGATGAATAATACTAGATATAATATTAAGAAGAAATAAATGTTTGTTATTGAAATCCAATGATAATTCAGGGATTTTGTTACCACAGTCTAATCTCCAGAAAGCTGTCTGGCACACAGTCAATGACCTTTTCTTTTTCCTTACCCACTTTAACCTCCCAAATCCAAGGTTACAGATGGGAGCTACTTGACTCCACCCATTCACCTTTGAAATTTCCATTTCAAAAATCCCCTTTCATATTATTGCCCCCATTTCTTCCATTTTATATGTTCTATTTCCATTAGAATATCCATTCCTTTTTAATTAATCTAGAAATATATTACATTTTATTGTCTACCCTCAATAAACTATTCTCACTTATAACTTTAACTGGCTTAATCAAGTATTTGTACATAATATTAAGAAACTTGCCCTCTTTAATTGTGCTGCCTTCATCTGACTAATCCTCAGAGTCAGATGAGATCAGTTATTGATCATAGCTCCCTTACACACAGGAAATTCATATTAATGGGAAAAAAATCAAACAATCAAATGAAGAAAACAATCTAGGCCTGTAGGTTTTGTGTTGAAAAGTTCAGCAGTTCCACAAAAAGATAATCATAATTACCATATGACCCAACAGAAGTCCACTTGCAGAAATATACCCTAGAGAAGTAAAAACTTGTATTAAAAAATAATCTTGGGGCCGGGCGCGGTGGCTCACGCCTGTAATCCTAGCACTCTGGGAGGCCGAGGCGGGCGGATTGCTCAAGGTCAGGAGTTCAAAACCAACCTGAGCGAGACCCTGTCTCTATTAAAAAAAAAAATAATAATAATCTTGTAAATGATTGTTCATAGCAGCATTTCCTATAACAATCAAAAAGTCTAAAGAACTCAAAGTTCCATCAAGTGATGGTTAAATGGAGAACTAAACTGGTATATCCAACACTGGTATACTTCTCAGCAATAAAAATTTCTAAGGTAATGATAAACATTACAATATGCATGATCCTTGGAAACATCATGCTAACTGAAAGAATAATCCTATGCACATAGGATCATGTATGGTATGACTTTAGTTATATGAAATGCCCAGAATAGCCAAATCCATAGAGACAGTCACATGGTGTTTGCCTGAAGCTGGGGGCTAAAGTGGGGAATAAATGGTAAGGAGTAGGCCAGTCAGTGGCTCACGCCTGTAATCCTAGCACTCTAGGAGGCGGAGGTGGGAGGATTCATTGAGCTCAGAAGCTGGAGACTAGCCTGAGCAAGAGCAAGAGCAAAACCCTGTCTCTACTAAAAAGAGACAAATT